TGTGGCATGACTGGCTGGGAAACCAGGGGAGGAGGGATAGCTCAGTGGTTTGAGCATTTGCCTGCTAAACCCAGTGTTGTGAGTTCAGCCCTTGAGGGGGTCATTTAGGGATCTGGGGCAAACCTGTCAGAGATGGTACTTGGCCTGCCCTAAGGGAGGCCAAGTTCTATGAGATGGGTTATAATATATGGAGATTTACCTATTAACATTTTAAACGGGATGTTACATCCTTAATCGTATGTATACCATTTATAAAATAAGCAGCTTGGGATTGTTCAGCGTGAAAGGTGCTAAATGCAGGAGGCTACTAACATAGCAGCAATCAGAGGAGGGGGGAGGTGTGGACTGGAGAAAGGGAGTGGAACTCTACAGGGTTTTGCTTCTCAGTTTTAAAATGTCACATGCATCTGTGCTCAGTAGCTGTGGAGGTTGACTTCTCAATGCTTAGATGATAGCAGCAAAGAAGTGAAAACAGAAAAAACATACATGAGCTGACATGAATCCGACTGATTTTGATAGAGACCCTGGTCCAGTGCCAAACTCCTCTGCCCTGCACTACTATGCTAAGTGTGTTAACAACAAAAGCAGCTAAAATCTGTCCGCTTAAAAATTAATACTTTACAAACTTTGTGGTTTGAAATTGTAAGACATCAGATTATACTCTTAACTGTGCAGTCTAATGACTGGTGTTAGATGAGATTACTGACCACTAAGATACTTACCTTCTGATGGTCTACTTCGCCCCTTTCACACAGATAATCGTCCATTGCTCCCCTCAAAATCAATACAAAGCCCCTTCCACCAACTCTGGTGGATCTGTTGGTTTCGGAGATATCAGGGTTTGATAATAGTTATGCAATTTATAGCTCTCATGTGATGGCACCATCATTCTTCAGTTATCACAGTACTGTACCTTTCACGTATACAGCACCGGTACCATGATAACCGAAAAAGGACAGTTCACATTCTAACTGTTCAATATCGCCGCCACATATGAACATCTCTCTCCTTTCCCTTAAAGGGGCAAACTTGGATCAATTCAGTCTCTGCTTTGGTCTAGTCAACTGTTCATCAGCCAGCTATGGTAACAAGAAAGCTCTATGCAGGAATGGGGGAAACACAGCACTCCTCTTCAGACTGGTAACTGCCACAGACCTTGAAAAACTCTTATAAAAAAAAAGGTCAAAGCAAAAACCCAGTGCAATCCACATCAGTTCTAAAACTTCATGGGTCCCAGTCTCCATGAGGTGCCCCTTTGAGTTGTTTCTCTTTGACGTTCATGCTATGAGCGGAATACAATGTTGGAACTTCAACATTAGGCAAAACAAGACAGCTTAATCGAAGCATCAAAAAAGCATTTTTCATATACAATTCAAGATCAATACCAACAAACAACTGGCATCTGAAAGTTTAATCACCTTAGAATCAGAGGGAAAATAGGAAATGAGGAAGTCTTATTCCAGTATGTAAAAATAAACACTAGGTAACTTCTGATGTGCAGATCATTAAATGATCAGTACAAGTATTTCTGTTCGTAGCCAGCAAGGAAGCATTCTACATAAAAAATACCTGTTATTAATTGCAAATTAAACAAGATTTGGTATTTAAAGTTAAAAGAGAACAACTTGCGTGTATGGAGACAGAGGTCCTAATAGGACTTTGGAAACATCCTGCTGTCCAAGGGTCATGAGGAGCAGAACCAGGCTCTGATTTGTTGAATCCACACAGCCTCCCTATAAACACAAACATTTTAATTATTAATCTTTATACAAACCAGAAAATAGGAAAAAAAGATGGAGGAACATTTACTTAAAACAGAACTATCACAGCTCTCACGTTTCAAGGGTCAAAAGATAAAATCCAGATTTTGTAATAGTAACTAACTTCACAGGGCATATTTGGAAAGGGACACGAGTTAAAAACAATACGGACATTATTTTTCTAACATTATTACTGCTATTGGTTATGAAAGCTCTAGGAATAGTTAACATTTAAACAGCATAAATGGAGAAAAAACATTTGTTTTGCATTTCACTCATTTTGGTCAAGTGAAAAGGGAGTACTCTCATTCAGGTTCATGTGCACTAATAGATTACTGAACTGCTTGGGCTATAGCTCTTTAGGTCAATGTTTAAAATGGGACAACCTGAAAGCTATTCAAAAGTAGTTAAAAGGTGTTTCAGGTATTACATTTGCCCAGCGCCCTACTGCCAATTGTTGTGCAGACACATTTTCCTATTTTTACAGAACATGTCCCTCTCCTGGTGTTGCTGCATGAAAAATCCACACAACTATAAGGAATACAGGTTGTGGAACGACACAAAGTGCCATCACATGCATAAACAAAAGCCCTGAGGGGAAATACATTTTTCTCCCTGGCTCGGTCTCTCAAACTACACCCTGGTAGCCTTATTTAGGGAAGAGAAGGGAGTGCACTATTCTGAGTGAAGCTTGATGCCTTTATATTGAATTATTGGCTGAGGATTCAGCATATGAATCTACAGCATCATCCAAGGTTATGTCTGGGGGCAACGGGGGGGGAGGGGAATAACAGCTGAACAGTACACAATCCATAGCGTTCCTCTGGCTTTTGAATGTCTGCGGCTCTCTCCATTCCTTGGGCTTGTTGCAACTTGACCTGGCTAGGGATGTAGGCAAGAGTGTGGAATCTCCATTACATTTAGAGCAGAAGATATTTGCAAACAACTGGACATGGCATTTGCCCCTTGGCAGTCCTCTTCAAAGAGCAGACATAGTTCTGAGAAATATTTGGATAGTTTGAACAAAAATATATCAGGAAGGGAATTTATGGCTCTACTGTCAAATTATGAAGATGGCCTGTTTGGGAAGGAAGAGCTTTACTCGGGGAGGTCTATGTAAGTGGAAGATCTACCACATTTACTTTCTGGTAACTTGGCTAACCCCATTTCTGGCTCAGATGTCTTTTACTTCACTGGCTCAAAAGCAAGTAGTGCGGAGATGGGGGTGGGGAGAGCTGGCATGTGTGTACCCGAGGCAGCAGTGTGTGGATGGGGGGAGGGAGGCAAAAGTGGGCGGGTGTGGGGAGGCGGCGGGCAGGCAGGAGCCGATGCTCGTGGAGAGCTGGCTTTAAAAGCCAGCTCCCCACAAGTGCCAGCTTCCACAGAGCCACCTACTTCTCCTTCCCCTTCCCCACAGAAGCAGCTGTGGAGATGGGGGCAGGAGCCTGTTCATGCAGAGGCAGAAGTGGGGGGAGGGGGAAGAGTTGGGAGCTGATGCTCACGGGGACCACCATCCACGTGTAAAAGTGTAACTGAAAATGTCAGTAGAAGAATAAATGTATTTTCACATATATCCCTAATGTATTTAACCTTTGGTAGTTTGCTTTTGTATATTGTTCCAGGGATTGTGACGTCAAACCTGTGATTGATTCTGGGGCAAGGCTGAACTTGTGTTTTTGTATTTTCAGAATGTCTTTTAATCGTATTGAGGTGTGTTGATTTTAAATCTTGCATTTATCTTATATTATTGTACCTAAGGCTAAGATTCTGTATTAATATAACTGACCTTAATATTTGTGTCTCGCATCTTTTAGGAACAATAAGGAGAAGTAAAAATGTTTCTGACAGCAGTGTCATTTTGAAATTGACACTGTCCTTTTAACATGCAAACAAAAAAACTGGACATTTTGAGAGAGTTTTTAAAGACTTGGATTTACACAATTGTGGTTTTGTTGATTACTAATAAACAATGATAATTAAACAACCTACATTTTGTTCCCAAACTAGTTAACAGTATCCCTTTAATCAAGACAATCTAAATGGCTTGGAAACAACTGCAGCACTTAAAACTTGACATATGAAAAACTCTTTATCATTAGAAAGCAGGAATATACTCCAAACCAGATCACACAGTAAAACCCCATTTACCCTAATCTTACACGTCCTCCTAGCATGAGAAGTTTATACAGAAACTGCAAACTGACTGTTCAACCCTTATTTTTAGATAGGCCTGAAATGTTTCAGATAAACAGGGTTGAATTATAATGTACACATAGCAACAAGTCATTCCTGTAACTGCCTGTGGTTTTCTAGACTCGAGCAAGAGTTACACTTTGTCTTGCTTAGCATGAAGAGAATTTACCAAATAAAGCTAGTCAAAGAACCCAAGAGAGAAAAATCTGGCACACCAGTCAGCGAATAGATCTCTCCTGACCACAGTGGGTTTGGATTGGACCCCTAACAGGCTCTCCAAAAATTCTGAGAGAAACTCTATGTTACCATTTCAAAAACTGGCACAGACTGAACCTCTAAATCTGAGGCTCTCTTTTCTGGCAGGACCACAGATGTTGTGGACCAGAGAGTCCCGGCTGGCCAGGGTCAGCAGTACAGCCTGGTCTGGGTTGGCAGTAAGAGTGCGAGCACAACAGGCGTGGCAGGAAGCACAGCCTCAGTGAGGGCTAGCGTGATGGGGGGGTGCAGCCCTGGCTGCAAGGAGCGCAGCCCTAGCCAACGCTGGAGGCAGTGGGACCAGCAGCCAGGAGCACAGTCCCGGCCAGAGCTTACACAGTAGGAGGTGCATCCATGGCTGGGCTAGAGGCAGCAGGGCGGGCCCTTGTCTGCGGCTGGCACGGTGGGGATGCAGTCCCAGCCAGGGCTGGCAGGAGGGAAGGGGGCCTGGAGGCAGCAAGACAAGCATCAGGGAGTAGAGCCAACAGCCAGGTAGGGAGCCTTGACCACAATAAACTCTGAGGATCACTGAGTTCCCGAGGATGTTGGACCAGGGAGGTCTGACCAGAACACGCAATCACACATTAGACTTATTACCATTTAATCACGTGGCAAAATAAAAGGAGCAGATGTTGCTGAAGACAGTATTTTACCACCCCTTTGCAAACAATTAAAAATACACAAAGTAGAACACAATAATGAACAGGATGACTTCAGTACTCAACTAGCTTAGTCAAGATGACAAGGTAGAAGGGAGGCTGCTTTCCTTTAGGAAAAAAAAAGAGTTTCTGAAGGTTTATTGCTCTATATAACATTGCACCATCTCCAGCCCACAGAGGGAGGAGGACATGGTTGTGGAGGAAGAGGCAAGATGAAGTCCCACAGAAGGCTGCAAATATCAGGACGCAGCTCTTGAACTGGATTCTGTATCGCCTCAAACTGTGGGTTCCGACCCCCCGGGGGGTTGCGAGCAACTTAGAGGGGGGGGAGGGTTGCGGTATCAAAAAGTTTGAGAACCCCTGCTGTATCAAAAGGAATCTAAAGAAAACAGGACACAGAGACAACATGCTTGTGGAAAGCTGTGGATTTGGAATTTTTGAGGGTGTAACTTCATGCCTATACTTGACTCCTTCCAGCCTCTTCTCCCCAAGTTTTGCTGACATTACTTACTCCTCTGCCCTACACTGGGAGTGCTAAACCCCCCACGGCTAGTTGAGTATTGGACTTTTGGAAGGCTTGGTGAAGAAGGCTGAACACTGAACCTTACAAAATGCAACTATGGGGTCCCATTCCAATGTCTCTGTAAGGAGCCCTGACATTTTCCTGCACTAACCCTGTTAGTCTGTGATTGCAGTCTTAGCCCTTGTCTACACGACTGTGGACTTTCGAGCTAAGTTATGCAACTTGAGCTACGTGAACAACATAGCTGAAAGTGCCATACTTAGGTCTGCTTACCGCGGTGTCTTTACCATGGTAAGTTGACAGCTGATGCTCTCCCGTTGACTCCATTTACTTATCACATTCTGGTGAAGTATTGCAGTGGACTGGAGAGCGCTCGGAGGTCATATGAAAGATAATCAACCCACTCTGGATCAACTGCTGCCCATTAATCCCGCCTGTAGTGAAGACATGCCCTCACATCAGTATTTACAACTAATTTGAATGTGAAATGGAGAAACAATGAAATGCCGCTCCTTTCACTTCATGGTTTACAGCTTAACTCATCTATCCCCATTATCTTTTGCCCGTGAATAATTTTTCAAAACAATGAACATTTCTGACCTTAACTTCGCTGACTCCTGTCCAACCCCTGCTGACCAATGCACAAGGTTTTGTTTATTGGTTAACTTTTTAAAGTGCATTTTTTCAGCCTGGAGAGTACAAAGGTAACATGAAACAGAAAAAAGGCCAAATGCCTAAAGTTCAATTACTGCAATGACAGAATGATGCAGTGAAAAGCAAAGGGTGGGCTGGAAGGCTAAACATTTATAAAGTACACAGCATTTGTCTCACACTCTTTTCAAATAATTGCCAGATGTTCTATCTACATTTGATTGACTATTGATATTTAAGCTTTTTTTTTTTTTTTAATTATTCTGTTTAGCAACAGTTTGCATGCAGCAAGTAGTGGATCCACTAATTGTTAGTTGCGGATCTGGATGATCTAGTTAGGTAAACAATTCGCCAAACGTCTTGTGGTTTTTCTCTTGTTAAATGTACAAGCAAAGATGGCCATCTTTACTAAACAGACATCTGACCTACAGACACTTAAAAGTAAAACCTCAGAGTTTCCTGTTCAACTCTCAGCTGTGTACAAGAGCTTTTGAGACAGAATAATATGGTGTATTACCTCCCCATTAGCATTTGCTTTAGAAACAATGTGTGCCACAGAAGAGGGCTTCAATACAGCAGGAGCCTTAGATAATTTTGGGGATATATATATATTGGAGGGTCTGTGGGGAAGGGGGTAAGTTCGAGGCTCTTCTTCCTTTCTATAAAGAATGCTGTTTGCTTTCAACATACTT